TTGATAAATGATCAGTGCGAGCACAACGGCTCCAAAATCAGAACAAATAACAGAATATAAGGTAAGTTTAAAACAGTAAAGCTTTACCTACCTCGACCTATTTTTCTAAGGCGCTCAATTATGTAAATTTTCGGCAAATAATCAATACTTCTTTGCGTTTCCTCGACGAAAACCCGGCATGAAAATGCTCGTCGGAAAAGCTCGGCATTAGTCGTCTTTTACGAATCTGCCACGCGACTGGTACGCTCAGTGTGACCAGACTTTTTCAGCAGTCATTACCAAAATTTTGTTCAAATTTTACTAAATTAAGAAAAATTTTACCAAATGTCGGCTTCCCAAATAATTACGTTGATAATGCCAAAAAACAATAGTTACGTCATCAAAGTAGAAAAAATATTCACAAAAAGTGTCTCGAAATACTTGTTGCTTTCATCGTATTGCAGTTTTTGCTAATGATAAGGCTTTATTTCTTAGGCTTGGCAGTTCTGTTCATCACTTTGAGCACGTTATTAAACAAAAAACACACATTTTTACCAACTATTTTTAATAATTCAAACCTTTCAAATTTTACCAAAATTTTACCAAAAGAAACTCATTACCAAATTTTCTTGAAAATTCACGAAATTTTATCAAAAGTAAAACTTTTTTCCACTGAAGATAAACTCTATTTCATATTCATTTAGAAGCATAGCGAACCAAAATAGTGTTAGATATTCAGACAATACATCATATTTTAAAAAATACAGCAGTTCAAAATGTAAACAAACCGTTTGTTTACATTACGGACTTGACTTCCCCTTTAAACCTAAATTGGGAAAGTTTTTTGACCGATCAAAGTCCTTGTGCCGAAATAAATAGTGTTTTTCCCAACGTGTTTCTCCTTTATAGATGCAAACAACTGTAGCTTGGTTTTGTACATTTCATTTCCGGCGATTCATTTCCGGTAAATGAACACAGATGCACACCGAAAGTAAATAAAACGTTCTTTGATATAATAATATAAAATCAAACGCAATGCACTTTCTCATCAGAAAAAATGAAAATCTTCCAGTAGACCCAGTTAGGAAAGCCCCTTAGCTCCTTCAATTGGGAAGAGTTCGTCAAACGGACAGTATATGGGCTAGCTAACACCCTAGATTTTTACTTGACCGCTAGGGTCGACCGAACAGTTTATATTGCCATCCCTAGCATGATTACATACGATCTGTCCAAACCTGGCAAAATAGCTTTACTTAGCGAGGCAGCAGCTATCTTCTGATACAACATCCAAACACATAAAAGCTTTGCTGGATATAAAGCACTAAAGCAGCACGGGTATTATGTGATGTTCCGCATGTGTAATCGAAAAATATGTGTCCAAAAAGGCAAGATAAAAGGCGACTTGTCCTAAAACTAATGCTTACCTGTTCGACGATGGCTCTTCTGAAGACATCCAGATGTCCCAGCAACAAATTCATGGATAAATGAAGGAAAGATTGTAAAAAAATTCAACTAAAACGACCCTACTTCAGAAACGAGATTGAGAAATGAGAATATTCTATATTCGTTCCCAGGAATCTCTGCCACAGTGCCCTGCCTCCAGACGAGGTTGCTCAGTGTTTGCTGCACATAACCACATAACCACATTTCGCATTTTTGGTCCAGGACAATCTTTGTTAAAGTTTTTGCATGAATAACAGTTAATTGGACTGCATTTTTCAGTACTATTCCAACATTTTCAAATATTGGGTAAAATATTGTATATACAATATTGTATATACATCATTAATGTTGAGGGATAGATCGCGCTCTGAGGTAAAAATATTTCGGTTTTTGGATGATCTGTTATCCATATCATTACTTTTTGAATTGGTCATTCTATAATTCTGACCAGTTAAGTGATAAAAAATTCAAGTTACTGCAAAATATTAAAACTAAGCTCGTGGTTTGAAATCAATAGAAGACTAATAAAACTGGAATTAACAACGTTTTATTATGTGTTCAAATGCAATTTAATATTATAATTACGTCGGATGAACATGCAGCTACCAAATGGTTTAATCTAGTTCAAACCACGTAGATATTGATCCAAGAACCTGCTTCTCTGAGACGGATTACAAGCGTCGCCAAAGGAAGGCAACTTGAAATACCGTGCTTCTTTTCTTCTTTTCAGACCATCCAAACTGTAACAGTTGATGATTCCATTAACTGGTGTCATTCTTATCACACCACCTGCAATGGAGCATCCTCTTTGTTTTGTGGTACCTTCTACTCCAGAGGGATTTTTAGCTACGAAAACTATCGACTGCTTTGCCACTGGATCACAAACTGCTTTCCAGAAGAATTGTGGAACGACAACTTTCTTCCTCAGTTTTAATGGCACCTTATTTCGTAAAATTTCACCACCTGAAAGGTATCATTGTGCAATATTTGTACCTCAAAAAAAACACAACAGTCTGTTTCATCCGTATAGATTCTGTTTCATTAGTATATGATTCCAGTACAAAGAGCCTGTTTCATTTGTATTCGATTCTTATACCGATGAAACAAACTGTTGTGTTTCTGTTTTTGGGAAAACGAGAAACTATATTACGCTATATCATATTGAGCACTGTTTAATGTGTTTCGTAAACCAAAAACTTAAAACCGAGCAAACGTTTTTTCAAAAGGGAAGGGCGAGGATGTTCAAAGCTATAAAGTCCATTACAAAATATTGAATTGTTACATGCAATAACCTCAAAATTTTTTTTAAATATTCTCAGAAACTATTGGATATGATTTTTTGAATGCCTCGCAATGTTTATAATGAAAATAATGCATTTTTGAAAGCATCGATTTTTTTAGTTTTCAAACAAAAGCTCAAAATTAATTAGCATGAATACATAATCTTTATTGGCGGAAAAGTTTTGGAACTTAAATGTTCTTATTTTTTTCTCTGTTGAAGGGACAAGTTTGCTTTCTTTCCTTTCGACATGTCAAAATTTTTGTTAATTTTCATAATACAAGCGAATAGTCGTCAATTTTCCACACGAAAACTAAACCATGCAGTCATAATTGTTGATAAAACCAGGACTTAAAAGTTGAACACACTTGAACTAATGCCTTATAATTAAAGGATTAATCACCACAATTTTTCTTGGAATTTTCCTTTTCGTTTGACTAAATTTAAAGGAACTTTGGGAGATTTAACTGAGTGGTCCGGTTTCCTCCCACAGAGAGAGTTGGTATATGATACGTGACCGTAATTGTTGACGTAGCTTATTGGATATCCCCATGTAAAATTACAGTAAATACCTGCTCTAAATTTATGCTTTGTTATATCTTTTCAATTAAAACTACTAGTGCTATCCATTGAACTACTGTATATGTAAACTGGAATGATAGGTTCGCCGCCATCTTTAAAGCCGATCATGAGTGTACGTTTTCTGCAGGTAGCCTATGCAGTTTTTTTTACAAAATGAGTGCGAAAAATACAGCTTAAAAACGTTAATACTTTCTCATTTCTCATTTTATATTTGTGCTAGAGCACACTTAGGTAACAAAAATTTATGATTTTTCCGAGTTTTTAGATTTAGGGGCTGTTTATATGAGGCGAGCCAGCTCGGGTAGCCGAGCAAGCTCGCTTTAGGCGGGATCCCGTCTTTGTTAATATTTCCTACTAAATTTCATGTTGCGTTTATATGAGAACCGAGCTGGCCCGCCTAACCGAGGGAAAACGGGCTGGGTAGTTTTCCATATAAACGCAACAGGGAGGGCTAGGCCTCCTAGTAGGGCTGGAAATTAAGCAAATACGCGTGTAGTCTAGGACCTGTATATGAGTTTGTATGCGATTCATTTAGGACAGGTAATCCCAACTGTTTTAGGGTAAAATGACCATGGTGGTCAACATGGCATATGTGCGAAAACCTGAATCCGGGGCGAAAGTCCTGAAAATTACCCCGCCCTGAAACGGCAGTGTCGACATAGCTCTAACTTCCGAAAAGGAAAAGCAATAGCCTTTCTGAAGTGCTTGTAGTGTTTAGAAGGGTGCTTTTAGGGGTGGTTATTGGAAGGAAAAATTTGTCGAAGTATAATATTTTACCAGAAAATGACCATGCACCACCCCAGGTAAAATGCTGATTATGCACAAAATAACTAATATGCCTGGCAGAAATTAAATTTTCTTATTTCCTAAAAAAATTTATCATGGAATGAAAAACTATGCTTAGTTCAATATAATTATTGTGGATTTCATAAGGATTGTCATTTTTTTCTCTTAATATAATACATTTTATTTCACTTTCCCCCCACGAAAACACAATTTCAGCCATATTTTGCCGTCTTGTTTGCTTTTTATCGCCGAGTCTCGCAAATATCATCCAGTCGTTG